GAGAGAGAGAGAGAGAGAGAGAGAGAGAGAGAGAGAGATTTATGTGCGTGTGTGTGTTTGTGTTTGTTCTTTATTTGTTTGTGTATCTTTAGTTGATTAGCCAATAGGCATACTGATGCACCTTTCTCGCAACTTCTCAGCTGTGATATCACAGCAGGCATGGTCAAATACTCTCTGTGTGCGTGCATGTGTATATTTGTTTGTTTGTTTGTGTATATATCTTATTAGCAACTACTAACGCACCTTTAGCAACTCGTCAGCTGCAGTGTCACAAACATGGTCAAGTCAACCCTCTATAGATGTGCGTGCGCGCGCTCGAGTGCGTGCGTGTGTGTCTGTGTGTGTGTGTGTGTGTGTGTGTGTGTGTGTGTGTGTGTGTGTGATTAGCCCAGTTTATCGATTACTAACGCACCTTTCGCAGCTTCTCTGGTGGTGTCCCAAACAGGGTCAACCCTCTGGGAGGTTAACCGAAACATGGACTCTCTGAATAGTTGGTGGATTTCTTTGTGCTTCTCTTAGTTTGGTTTCGGTCTGTCGCTCCCTCCATTGGGCTGCTGTTATGCAATCACGACTTGAAGGCTTAGCTGGAGAGCTGTTTTCTGTTGTTGTTGTTGTTGGTGGTTGGGTTGATCGTGTTTTTTTTCTCCGAAATTGATACAACATGGTACCATGTAGTCAATTCCCATTTTTCCTTCTCTTCTACGTTGCAGTCTTTTCTGTTACTGTGCACTTGTCACATACTTTTTTGTTAAACAAACACACCTTGCAACTGTTCTTTATATTAATATTCAGTTGGATGTGGTTGTAACCCTAACCCTTACCTTATTATCCCAATCCAGCAAATCATCGGCCAGCTGTTCAAATGCATTAAACCCATTAATTTTTTTTCTCTTGTACTAAGCTGAATTTTGGTAATAATTTTTTATAGCAGTTTCTTTTTCTATGGTATTGGTTGAAAGAGCTAGAGAAATATTTTCTCAAAATTAATTCAAGCTCAAAATGTTTTTAAAAAGCAAGAAAAGATACATACGTTATGTACAATTGTTATCAGACTGAAACATTTTTTATCTCTCTCATTAGAAATGTTGCCCTTTGGGTTTGACATATTTACATCTTGCCGACCAATTGTGAATTAAACGCGCAGATCTGTCCTATTTCTCCCCCCACCCCCCC